GCTGCTGGTGTTGTTGGGGGTGTTGGAGATTTTCATGTGTCTATGAGCTGTGAAAGGCCATAATTACTGAATATTTCTGGAATAGCAGAGGAACTTCATTTTCTTTGTCCAAACAAGAAACTGAGATTCATTTATGTATTCATTAGTAATTCAGTATTTTTTGAGTTTTACAATTTGCTAGGTATTTTTTTTCTAGATACTGGAGATACAGCAGTGAACAAAATAGATTAAAATTCCTTTCTCGTATAACTTATCCTAGGTAGGAGAATGCAATGTAGACTGACATTACAAAGAATAATTCCCTTTTTCTCTCCTCTTAAACTAAATATATCAGGTTAGCTCTCTTTTTGGCAAACGCATTTTAGAGTTGACTGAGGTTATTGCTGTGTCAAACAGCAGTGTCATGAAGGTGACTGAGGATGCACACGATTTTTGCATTTAGATGGGTTTCTGTAATTTTTTTTAATGATAAAGAACTGCATTTCCTAAGTGCTCCATGAACTGTCACCTAATGCAGCTGCTTGTAGGCAGGTGTCTTGTTGGATCATGTGATTTTGGAGCAGGAAAACATGTGGGACTTTTGATGTCCTTTAAAAATTGACAGTGGCTATTTCAACCTAACTTGATTCACTTTCTCTAGTACCATTGTGTACCAATTTCATGGGTTAATCAATCAACTTTGCTGGAGAAACTATCTGAAAAAACAGCACCAAAAAGGGGCCATCTGGATAGGTAACTTGAAAGATACAATTATCAATAACCTGACCATGTTGAAATAGGTCTATGCTCTGGGAAAAGAATGCAGTGGTGTGCTGGAACCCTTCTCTGGGTCAAGTTTGTTTAGCATATTACTCGATTCTCAGGTGTCTAATAAGAACTCCCAAGATTCTGTCCATCTCTGTTTTAATATGTGTTACCACCGGGCTTTGCTGGCCGCAGCTAGGGTGGGAGGGGGAGGGGGAGTAGATGATGCATTATTGGCTCCATCTTCTACGTTTTTGCTCAACTTGTAAATTCATCTGTCTTGGGGCTCAGATTAATTTTCAAGTGATTTTATATTTATTACTCATGAAAGGGAGCTGAAGGCAGATTTTTATTTAAAAATTTCATATTTGTAAAATCACTCTCTACCATATTCACTTAGGATAAAAATATTCAGAACTTTTGCCTTTTTGAAGGCATTTTCCCCCCTAAATTTGCCTTGTCTCTTAGTAGATTGTTTAAAAACTCATGTCAGGGTCATTTGGCACAGTCCTTACTCAAAAGTGACAGAAGACAGGATTTACTATAACCATTGAACTCAGGTAATATAATGTCAGAAATTAAAACAAAACAAAACTTTTATGAAGTTGTGAATTTATAATATTTTAGAGAAATGACACCTGGATTTTATCAGTTCAAGGAATCTGTTGCTTAGTAGCAGTTGTGTTTTTTGATCTGGCTTGTTTTTGTGGTTTTCCTCAAATCCTAGTTTGTATGTAGTCATCTAGTTGACCATCTTATTACTGGAAATGTGGATAGCTGAGAAAATATTTGAGGACCTTCTTTTTTTCCCTGTATGTTTTAATATCACGTCTTTTGCTTTTATCCTTCACACACAGTTTGGCTGCAATTCTCTTTGCTCTGTTTCTGAAATACACCTTGAGTCTTGATGCATCTGCTCCTCTCTCTTTCCCTTGCACCCCCTAGTTCAAGATGCCCTTATTATTTCTCTGGGTTACTGCAAAGTCCTCCCAAATGATCTCTCTTTGTTTCTCTACAAACAATTCCCTACATAGCAGCCAGACTGACTTTTTAATAATATAAATAAGGTCATACAATTTTCTTGTGTGAAAACATCAAATAATTTCTGCAACCTAAAATAAAATCCCAACTCCATTTTATGATGCATGACCCCCGAATGATTTGGCTTCCAGCTACTTCACCGATTTCTTCCCTTCTCCTTCCCCGTTTCCTGGTCTGCCTTTCCCTCTTCCCTCCTCTTCAGTTACACAGGCCTCCTTTGTATCCTGGAAGAAGCCAAGTTCTTCTCTGACCAGGTTCTTACTTTAAGTGTTCTCTTTGCCTGGAAATCCCATATGGAGGCCATTTTTCAGTTTCTAGCCTAATGATTCTGTTCTTCTGAACACTGTATGTAAGTTTCACTGCTTTTTTGTTTGTTTATAAATTTATATTTACTTTTTTCCTAGTTCTTATCAAAACCTGAAGCTATTTTATTTATGTACTTATTTGCACATCTTTGTCAGCTGAATGAGGGCAAGACCCTTGTCTGTTGAGTTCCTTGTTTTATTATAGTTGTGGCACAAAGTAGGTATGTAATAAACTGTTGGTTAACTGCTCTCTCTTTTTGAAAAATGTTTTTCTAATTATAAAATTTGTTTATTATAGAAACTTTGGAAAATGCATGCATTATAATGAAGAGAATAAAATCTTTTAAAATATCTATAAACAGAAGACATTTTTGGGAGAAAATGTTCCAACCTAAAAACAAAATTATTTATCTGAAAGTGATATTTACTTCATGTGAACCTAAAAAATAATGTGAGTAAAATTTGTAGGAATGTATTATATAAAACTTCTCTGTATTTCCTGAAGTTAGCAGACCATTGGTAAGGATTTCAGGAAATTAATTTGAAAGGATGTATGAGAGATTGGTAATAGAAGCTATTCTGTTTTAACTGATTTTCTCTTCAACTGCTAAAAATTGGCAGCAGAATGGAAGAGAGGAAAGAGACGGGCTTATATTTTGTTAATATTTAAAAAACAAAATAACACGATTTATGGATTTAGAATAGTTATTTGACAATTGTAATTTTTGTTTTTAAATGTAAAATGGGAATTGTACTACATAATTCTTCACACTTTTCATCTTGGAGGTGTTTCTTGTTATTCTGGGACATGTAGACTTGGAAATCTAGAAGTGATATATAATCCTGGAATGGAGACTCTTGCTGGATAATGTATTAATTATATATGAAAGACTCAGGGTAAGATTCAGGGTTCAGGACGGTTCCTTTTCACTATAGTTTTCCAAGTACAAGCCTGACAAAATTATTCAGGTAAATAGAAAGTGTGTAAAAGTATTTTATGCTTAGCCTAATAAAACTGAGTGTGGGTAAAGGCAGAGATATTCCCAGTGAGCTGTTTTGTTACTCATCTTTTGTCACTGAGTTCCTAAGAATTGAAAGCAGCTGCTGTGTTAACTGGTCATTCTCAGATGGCCAGCTCCCCCTGGATGGCCGCAGAGGGCACTGTGACCATGGTAGTGGGAACGAGAGAAAAGGGGCTCCAGGGTGAGTCTGCGCACCCACCAGGCTGCTTGGACAGAGGATCAACGATCAAAGCAAACAAGCTTCACTTCTAAACTTGTTAAAATAGTTATCCAGAAGTCTGGATGCTATATATGCATTCTGACTTTTGACTTCTGGGTGCTAATTTAACAATCTGGATATTTTTGACCCATAATTTCTTTCTCCCTAAAGCTGGATCCCAGAAACCACAGTGAAGTGGAACCTGGTATCCTCAGTTGCTTTTCTCAGCATTCAGTCCAGACAGTCCCCCTGTGAGCACAGTCCTCTGCCTTGCTGGCCTGGAAAGGCTACTGCCTGCAGGAGCAGTTTCCAGAGCTGGACCATTAGGGTCTGAATCCTGCCTCCACCACTTTCCAGTTGTGGTTGCTAGACAAGTAATTAACTTCTCTATGCTTTGGTTTCCTTTTCTTAAGATAGATAGAATAAGACTACTGACTACAGAGGTTGTTTTGAAGATTAAATGGCATTTTATCCCACTGTGTACACTTCCTTGAAAGCTGTTGGAAGTAAGTATACTCATCTATTGTTGGCAAGTGGTAGGCAACTGTGGTATACTAGAAGTCTTACTGAATTTGAATATGGGAGCACAGGATTTGAATTGCAGCACTTAAACGTTGTGTTGTTGTGGAAAATTCTATAAGCTAGTTATTTCTTGCCTCTTAGTTTGCTCAAGTGTCAGATGGAGGTGATAGTGCCTTCCCCAAAGGGTTGTTATGAAGACTATATTCATAAATTGACAGGGTGGAAGCATCTTGCCCATTATCTGACATAGAGTAAATGTTAGATGTTTTGTGTAAAGCTGTGGCAGAGTTAACAGGAGATTTCAACAATGTAGATTCTTCAGCTATATTTAAATATTTTTTTCTCCTCTGAGCACTAAATTACCTTCTTTCCTGTAGCAGAAGAGGGGAAGCTTCTCTTCCTTGCAGGCTTTTCTGAGAGTACAAACAGCTGTGTTTGTGGTAAGGAGTTGGGAGAGAAGGTGCAAAAAGTAGGTTGGATGAAGATCAGTGAATGAATGTGCTTTAGGATCCATGGATTAGAAACAGAGCTATCTTTTACTCCTTGAGGAATCATTTACTGTCTCTAGAAGGAGGACAGTGCCAGGAGACAGGTCTGTGATAATTATTCCCTTGCTCACTCCCTGTGTTCTCTGGAGACCATTGTGCCTTCATTTATGCTTTTATTTTTTCCAGTGGTGGAGGAAGTAATGTCTTTTATAGGGTCTAAATCTCTGAGAGACAGCCGGAGGTGCAATCGATAGGTTCATCAGTCACCCCCCAGACCTGTTCAGAATACCTCTCATATGGTCAAGGGAAATTCTGTCAAACAAAACCCAAGTAAGGTATCTGATTGAAGGAGTTTATTTTTTGGTCTTCTGAGAAATTGTTGTCAATTGTGGGTTCTGGGCACCGATACCCATCTTACTGTCAGACAGAGGAGATTGGTTACAGGGAGTAATGGAGCTCAGTCAAGGGGTCTGT